ACGGGGTTTCACCATGTTGACGAGGATGGTCTCGATCTCTTGACCTTGTGATCCACCCGCCTCGGCCTCCCACAGTGCTGGGATTACAGGCTTGAGCCACCGCGCCCGGCAATTTTGTTTTTTTTTGAGACCGAGTTTCACTCTTGTTCCCTAGGCTGGAGTGTAATGGCGCAATCTCGGTTCACTGCAACCTCTGCCTTCCAAGTTCAAATGATTCTCCTGCCTCAGCCTCCCGAGTAGTTTTGGGATTACAGGCATGTGCCACCATGGCTGGCTAATTTTTTGTATTTTTAGTACAGACAGGGTTTCTCCATGTTGGTCAGGCAGATTTCGAACTCCTGACTTCAGGTGATCCGCCTGCATCGGGATGCTGGGATTACAGGCGTGAGCCACTGAGCCTGGCCAAAAGTTTTTTTATTTTGAGACGAGGTTTTGCTCTTGGCCATTCTAGAGTGCAGTGGCTTGAGTTTACTGTAACTTCAAACTCTGGGGCTCAAGCAGTCCTCATCAGCCTCCTGAGTAGCTGGAACTATAAGCACACACCACCATGCTGGGCGGCTAATTTCTTAAAAAATTTTTTGTAGAGGCAGGACATGATGGCTCATGCCTGTAATTGTGGGAGGCCGAGGCAGGTGGATCACCTGTGGTCGGATACCAGCCTGACCAACATGGAAAAGCCCAGTCTCTACTAAAAATAGAAAATTTGCCGGGCATGGTGGCGCTTGCCTATAATCCCAGCTACTAGGGAGATTGAGGCAGAATTGCTTGAACCTGGGAGGCAGAGGTTGCGATAAGCTGAGATCGCACCATTGCACTCCAGCCTGGGGAACAAGAGTGAAACTTCTGGCCTCAAGTAATCTTCCCGTCTTGGCCTCAAATTTTCCTTTTTATTTATTGATTTATTTTTGAGACAGGGTCTCACTCTGTCCCCCAGGCTGGAGTGCAGTGGTACAATAACGGCTCACTGCAACCTTGACCTCCTGGAATCAAGCAATCCTCCCATGTTGGCCTCCAAAAGTGCTGGGATTACAGGCCTTTTTAAAAAAATTATTTTAATTTTTTTAGAGACAAGGTCTTACTCTCAACCAGGCTGGAGCACAGTGGCATGACCATGGCTTACTGCAGCTGCACACTCCTTGGCACAAGCAATCCACCCGCCTCAGCCTGCTAAGTAGCTGGGACTACAGTGCTGTGCCGCCACACTTCACTAATTTTAAAATTATTTTTTGTAGAGACAGAGTCTTGCTTTCTTGGCCCAGCTGGTCTCAAACTGGCTTCAAGCAATCCTCCTGCCTTGGCCTTCCAAAGTGCTGGGATTACAGGTGGACGCCACTGTGCCTGGCCAGAGCCTACTTCTGCTTTGCAGATTAGGCTTTAAGATGTTTGAGCAGGCCGGGCGCGGTGGCTCACGCCTGTAATCCCAGCACTTTGGGAGGCCGAGGTGGGTGGATCACGAGGTCAAGAGATCAAGACCATCCTGGTCAACATGGTGAAACCCCGTCTCT